TTCTTTAGATCGGCTAGTGTGAGGTCCCATTTACTAGTAGAAAGTTGCTTGTCATATGAAAAGGCAGACTCTAACATCAGATGTCCAATATCACGGTATATATTCTTGAATACTGTTATCTGCCAACCAATATTAACTCCAATCAACCAATCCAAGTAAGCTCTATCTGAATTAAAATATTTTAAAAAGAAACTAAAACTAATACTAAATCTAAAAATTAAACGAAAAAATTTTGATAAACTAAAACAAAAAGAAGAAAATAATAAAAATAAAAAATAATTCCGAGAGCCATCAAGCCGATTTTTGTCTCTATCCTTCTTCCTCCGAGGTGTGTAAGTACAGTTGAAAATGAGGTCCAAAGCTTTTATCGAGGGTTGTTTAAAGAGAAACCAAATTTAGTTAGTTCCACAATATCGGTAAAAGTATGGACCGAGCATTACACTGAAAAAGCTGATAAAATTCCAAAAAAGGTTGTCCATTCCGTAAGTTTTCCCAAAATGGAAGTTGTCTTCTGAATCATTTTTGTTGTTATTTGTAGATGAACTGGCAAGTTGCGGAAGATATCCAGAAACGCATTTAGTTTATGACGCAATCTAATCCAAAATTCTTTTGATGGTGACCTAATCGGGAGTCTTGTGACTTGACGAATAGGAAATGCCAGCAGGTGTTTGTAAATAATGGGTGTCGAAGGTGTAGAAGAAGGTAAAGGTGTATATTAGTCGTATCGTTCAAGTAGGCTAGTTAAAGTCTCCCGGAGATAGTCTTGTGTATAGTGCTTAAGTCGTTGAGAGGTTGTTTCGTGCTTCTTGATAGCTTGTTCCAGTATCTTGAAGAAGGAGGACTCGTTGGTATATAGAAAGTTATTGTGGAGAAAATCCACAAAATCTTTGTTGTTAAGGAGTTCGTTAGTCGCTCTTTTCATGTCCAAAGTTTCGTTATTCCGCTTAAAAAAGGTAACTTAAAACTGTTCACATCTTGTTGTTGTCTCAAGCTTACTTATTCTAGGTGATATGCCTCTCCAGATCGTCTTTAGTCTAGGAATACCACAAAAAGAGAAAAAACGCATAAAGAATAGAAAAAAAAACAAAAGAAAATTTCTAATACTAAAATAAACCATGGTGGGTTTTTTGCTGTCAAGTATTTACTTGAAGTATATGAAATAAAATAAAAGTGTATTAACTATAAGCGAAGTAAAGAAAATATTAAAAATAAAATTTTGTTATCGAAAAAATATGGTCCAGACGTTTAGCGGAAAGAATTCCCCATTATTTTATCATCAAGAAGGATTTAATAAAATTATATATTTTAAATTTTACAATAAAATTTTAAAATGAAATTAAGTTGTGTGATATAAATATAATTGTTTTTACTGAACATCTGAAAATTTTATTTGAATTCAGATTATCTAGAGATTAAACTATATTGGGTTAAATTAGAGGTCAGGTCATATAAATATCAACTTGGATATTTAGTTAATTTTTATATTTAGATCGAGTTCAAATACATTTTTAAACCTGACCTGACTTAACTAAGGTTGCTTGTCTAAACCTCTTCAAAATCCTACGATTAGTTTTGTCAAAATTTTACTATAGATTTATTATAGTTTTGGCAGAGTTTTGGCAGTTTCGGCATTTATAATAAGTTTCGGCAGTTTCGCCTTTCTCCAAAGTTTCGCCAGTTTTTTAATATAACTTTAATATAGTTTCGGCAGAATTTCGCTTTTCGGCGAAACGCCATCTTGCCTAAACCCCTAGGTTTCGGCAAGCAACCTTAGACTCAACCCTTTCAAAACACTAGAAGTAATTACTATAGTATTCTATTCATTCTGCCTAGGATTTCGTTTACTTATAAGATAGATCACCAATTATAATAAATTATTAAAAACTATCTAGAAATTTATCTGAAACTCCAAAGACTTTATATTATAGTTTTGGCTGGATGTAGAGATTAATTTTTATCATTTTTTAACTTAATTTTAATTTAAAGATGTAACCAAAAATCACATAAAAAAGTTTCAGTTACAAATATAAGTTACCCTCAAACCAGAATCCCAGACATCACATATATACAGTCAGACTTCTATATACCGATACTGTTGTTTTAAGGAAAATATATTGGTATATTAAATTATTATTATATAACTGTTATCAGTGAATCATAATGTGGGCTAAAATCCAATTCTTGCTAGTATTATGCAAACCCGATAGCTAATATTAAAATGTCATGTGATTTGGATGGAACCTTTATGTTAACTTTGGCCAAATTTATAGTGTTGATCTGAATTAATACTAGTAGTATAACCTATATCTTACTATATATTAATTATAAAGAAGCATCAGTACATATTATATTGTGAAACTATATATAATATCGGTACAATGAGATTTTTTTATTAATTGTGAAATGGGACATAGAAAATTTATTAGTACAGGCAATTATCAGTACATAGAATATCAGTACATAGAGGTCTAACTGTAACTCACATTTGAGTTTTAGCAAATTCATTCAAAATTAGGTTAAACTCATAATTTTAGATAGAGCAAATTGATTGAAAATTAATTAATAGTCATAATTATAAGTTTTAGCAAATTGTATTAATTTTATAAAGTCATATTTTATATTTGAGCAAATTGGTACTTTTTTTTAAATTTAACTTATCCTTTTTTTTTTTAACTTTTATAAATAATATTTTTAAAAATATTAGTTTTGGGGTTAAGGTTATATTTTAGCCAAAATTAAGTATAATTCCAGCCAAAATTAAGTAATACTAAACTACTGATATAGTCTTACTCAAAACCTCTTACAAGTCATGGCTACTATACCAACCTATTACAGTTGTAAATCCTTCAGTAGTAATAGTAGTGACTACCAGGACAGTAAACTGCTAAAGGTACATGATTCCCCCTTTATTATAAGTAACTTATCTAGGGTTTACTACCAGTACGTCAAATTCACTGAGAAATCAAATCTTATCTTAGAACTTAATATATCTGTGAGCTCACGAACACCTCAATTAGAGGACCTCGGACATCACATATATAACTCACATTTGAGTTTTAGCAAATTCAACTGATCAAAATTAGGTTAAACTCATAATTTTAGATAGAGCAAATTGATTGAAAATTAATTAATAGTCATAATTATGAGTTTTAGCAAATTGTGTTGATTTTACAAGTCATATTTTATATTTGAGCAAATTGGTATTTTTTAAAAAATTTAACTTATCCTTTTTTTTTAACTTTTATAGATAATATTTTTAAAAATATTAGTTTCAGGGTCTGGGTTATATTTTGGCCAAAATTNCGCGCAGTTTGATTAACATTTCGCATTCTCACTATGCCTAAAAAAAACATTTCTTTATCAGATATTCAGAAATATGAGCTTTGTCTTTATGCTCGTGATAACAAGAAAACTCGAACTCAGTATGTGGACTGGGTTGAACAAAAGTGGAATCAGAGTTAATGAATCTACAATTACAAGAACCTTGCAAAGTAAAGAGAAACGACTTACCACAGAACTTGCAAATCCAGAAGTAAAACGTCATAAACCTGTTGCTGTCCCGGAACTTGAACTTGCCCTAAAAGAATTTGTTTTATGTTATCAGCATAAAACAATTTTAAGTGATGCTATATTAATTGAGAAGGCTAAATTACTAGCCAATGAACTAGAAGTTCCTCAAGAAACATTACAAGTTAAACATTTTTTTTTAATAATTTATATTTAATAATTTATTATAATGTTTGTTTGATCACTATTTTATTATTTATTTATAGTTTTCCAACGGATGGCTCCAAAAATTTAAGGAGCGTAACAGTATTCGTCAAGTAAAGTTTCATGGAGAGGCAAATTCTGCTGATGAAAATGCTATTGCTGAAGCTCTACCTTTATTACAAAATAAATGTGCAGAATATCCTCCTGATCGTATTTACAATATGGATGAGACAGGGCTTTTTTATCGGTAGGTATTTAATATTTATATGTTATATTTGTAATCTCTTCTCATTATTAATAACTAATACATATTCTTTTAGGTTAGAACCAGACTGAACATTAGCTACAAAGCGGCTTTCTGGACGTAAAAAAAGTAAGGAACGGCTATCAGTTGCTTTATGTGCAAATGCTGATGGATCACATAAGCTGCCTCCTTTAATAATTGGTAAATATGCAAATCCGTGATGCTTTAAAAATGTTAATATTGGCAATTTGCCAATGTCCTATCGGAATAATGCTAAAGCTTGGATGTTAGCAACCATTTTTCAAAAGTGGCTTCAGGAATTTGATTATCAAGTTGGCATAAAACATGATAAATAGCGTGTTTTGCTGCTTCTTGATAATTGTACAAGCCATAAAATAAATAATTTAGTTCTTGAAAATATTGAAATTTATTTTTTGCCACCTAATACGACTTCAAAACTTCAACAAGCATTATCGGCATCACCTAAGGTTGCTTGCCGAAACCTAGGAGTTTAGGCAAGATGGCGTTTCGCCAAAAAGCGAAATTCTGCCGAAACTATATTAAAGTTATATTAAAAAACTGGCGAAACTTTGGAGAAAGGTGAAACTGCCGAAACTTATTATAAATGCCGAAACTGCCGAAACTCTGCCGAAACTATAATAAATCTATAGTAAAATTTTGATGAAACTAATCGTAGGATTTTGAAGAGATTTAGACAAGCAACCTTAGCATCACCACATACATCCGGTAAGTTGGGTTTTTTCAAATCTACTATATTGCAAATTTAATATACATATTTTATTTTAGATAGATATTAGAACAAGTTGAAGCAGGCCAGCTTATACAGGATTTAAAAATGAATGTTTTGCAAGCAATTCAATATATTATTCAAGATTGGAATGAAGTTACGGCTGATACTATCAAAAATTGTTGGAATCATGTCAAAATCCTTTCAGATGCTATTCCTAGAGATAATGACGAAAATGATGATTCAAATATTGACAGTGAACTTAATAGAGCAATTTAAGCTCTTCATTTATCTGATATGATGCAAGTGAAAGAATTTCTAACTATTCCTGAAGAAGATGTAATATATGAATTTCTTAATATTTCAGAATTCGAAGATATGTTTAAAAGTGGGACTACAGATCATCCAGATGAAGTAGATGATATTTCTGAAATGGAAATCATTCATATCAATGAAGCATTACGAAGCTTGAAAACTGTAAATTTGTTTTTACTTCAACAAGAAAATGCAGGTGAACAGATAAAATTAGTGGGTAAAATTGAGAAATTTATTAGAAAAAGGAAATTCAATTCAATGCAGCAGACTACTATAGATCAATATTTCGTATAAATGTTTTAATTTTATAATGATAATAGTTTTAATTTTGTAGTTTTTAGTAATAATTCATAATAAATAAATGTGACGTTACAACTTTATATAAAAATCACGTGATATATGTAATTCTATAATTGCACACCCTCTCTAATTGCACGCTTACGCTCAGTCCCGAGGGTGTGCAATTATGGAGGTTTGACTGTATTTTTTTTTGCAAAATACATAGAATACTAAAGTAAGCAGTACATATTATAATAAAAGTATTTTTGCAAAACAATAAATATTTAAATGTAAAATTTTCTATTTATTGAAATAATTGACATATATTTTTTTCAATTTTTTTTTGGTCCTACTTTAAGACTTTCTGAAACAAATTGACATAAAATATTATGTATAAAAATTATACAATCTCTTCCCATTTTAAAAAATTCTGATTTCCACAACTCAATATTACAAGATTTATCATCATCATTTATTTTACAATGAAATCTTATCTTTTGGTTTTCTGTTAGCTTATACCATCTTATAAAAGCTAAATAATATGTCTTAAAATCTCCTGGTAATCAAATGGTATGTTCAAAGAAAAATTGGATCTGCCCAGAATATACGTCAGTAGTATTATCACTTAAAATAAAATGAGCTAAAATCTTAGTTAATCTTGCATACCGAAAAGAAAATGTTAAACCAAATATCTCAGTTCCAATTTTTAATCGACTAAATTAATTAACTTTTGGAAGAACAGGAATAGATTCATCTGAAGTATTGTGAAGTTGCAATAGTATCACAAAATCTTTATTGTATATATTATGATAAAAATCTGCTAATAAAAGCAAAATATCTTGCTGTAAATATGCATCTTTATTTAACGGACCTAATAAAGAATCTGTGAATGGTTCATTGCTGAAAGCTGCACCTTCTTTTAGTATATTTGCTGATAATAAGCGAAATGTTTAATAATCTTCATTAGAATAATCATCATATATAGAAAAACTTCTAACTGAATCTTTAAACTTTAATATTTCAAGACTCTTCTGAAAGTAAGAATGACGCCGCAAATAGACAATTGCGGAATAATTGCAATTTGCGGTATTGCGAAACATTGCGGATTTTGAAGTCTAAATATCTGCAAATCCGCAATTTGCAATTGTTTGCAATTTTGCAAATATTCCGCAATTCCGCAAATAATCTAAAGTATCGCAATTCAATTGCGGTACAATTGCAGTACTTTACAAAATTGCAGAACATTTGCAGATTTGCGGATTTGCCAATAATAGTCCACCAGTCTGACACAGATTATCAGATGAATTGCATAGTACAAATCATCTGATGATTTCTTTTTCTTTTTTATTGAAGTTTCCAGACAAAAATTATGACTGAACTTTTTAAAATGGAGTCATGTAGATAAGGAGAAACCGAACAGCAAGTTNATCAAAATTAGGTTAAACTCATAATTTTAGATAGAGCAAATTGATTGAAAATTAATTAATAGTCATAATTATGAGTTTTAGCAAATTGTGTTGATTTTACAAGTCATATTTTATATTTGAGCAAATTGGTATTTTTTAAAAAATTTAACTTATCCTTTTTTTTTAACTTTTATAGATAATATTTTTAAAAATATTAGTTTCAGGGTCTGGGTTATATTTTGGCCAAAATTAAGTATAATTCCGGCCAAAATTAAGCATAATGCAGGCCAAAAACCGTCCGATTAGTTTCGCAACATTTTATTTTTTAATAATTATTTATATTTAATTTATTATTGGTTTTTACTTCAAATCACCGGGGGTGATCATCACCGTTGGCCAGAATTATCAATTTTTACCGGCACTATATTTTTTTAATGCTGGTCGATTGTAATAATTTCAGTCACCGGTGATCATCACCCCGGTGATAGTTAGAAAAATTCTTTATTATTTTTATTAATTATTATTTTATCTATAATCTACATGTTTTTAATTATAAATTATAAAAATTGACAGTTTAATTTATATAGGACCCCAGACATTACATATACAATTCAGAGAGTAACTTTTTAGCAAATTGGCCTAAATTTCAAAAAAAAATTCACGTTTTTTGCAATTATCTCAGCATCCAGTGGTCCAATTTATGCGAACTTTTTTTTGTTTTGTAGCCCTCATCGAGCTCTACAAAATAAAAAACAAATCCGCATAAATCGGACCACTGGATGCCGAGATAATTAGCAAAAAACTGAAAATAAAAAAGGATCTTTTTTGGCAAAAAGTCAGTTGTTATTAATTATTTATTTTTTTTATTGATAATAAAAAAAAAGATTGTTAATTTCGGTAAATTGACAATTAAATTTACCGATCTGCAAATAATTTTAATAAACTGAAATTATATTTTATTAAGTAAATTTAAACCTATATTATTTAAATTTTTACTATCCCTTAAACTGTTTTGCGGGCAAATTTGCCCGCAATTTCTAAATTAGAATAAATGACGCTATAAAAAATTCTTTAATTTTGGCCAGATCGTCATATAATTTTGCAGCCAAATTGATCTACATTCTGGCCATAAATTGTATGAGTTAGATATACAGTTGATCATTAAAATTGGATTAGAAATTAACCCGCAAAAATAGTATCGGAATTTTTATATAATAAAATTTAAACTTTTCTTACCATATTTTTTCTCTATTTGAATATTTATTATAACTTTTTATTTTTATTATAAAAATTTTGCATTATAATAAAC